ACATATCTGAGAAATTTCAAAGTAGAATAAATGCAAGTGAACATAAACATAGTTATTAAAGGAAAAAGTCTTCCTAGTGTAAACAATGGCTATACAGACTTCAAAGTGCATTTCGGGTTTTCCAGGAAGTGTCTATACAAACATCACATGTATTCTGAATCAAAATCTATACTCCTGATTCCATTATGAGTTCACAGAATATTAAAACGCAATAGAGTCTGGCAACATTAGCACAATGAAATTACAGCATATGGCACTGCTTGCTTACTTCTTGCAATAATTTACAAACCAGACCAGTTGACATGTATGGAAAATTTACAGTCACAAAAAACTGAGTGATTTCTGGCAGGCACAAGATAAATTTGTGGCTTAGCCAAGAAAATAATTCAATTTCCTACTTACCATTCCAAGGCTCTTCACACTACTTATCCTGCCTTCTTTTCTCTTTCCTTTTTTTTTTTTTTTTTGTCTGAAAGATTTAGGAAAAGGAAGTGCTTCCTGAAATTCCCTCAATTTAGCTAGTTTTTAAAGGTCAGGAAACATTTGGAAACTAACAAAACCTTTGTATACCTGACAGATCTGTCTATGTTCTGTGAGTCTTTTCAGAAAAGTATTTTGGCACGCTGGGAGATTTTGTGGTAAGGTTAAGGAAACTTTTGGGAGATACCTTTGAAGAGAACAGTGCAAAGTTGCAAATCAAAGTCATTTTTTTAAAGCAGAAAATGAGGGCGCCTGGGTGGCTCAGTTGGTTGGGCGACTGCCTTCGGCTCAGGTCATGATCCTGGAGTCCCCGGATTGAGTCCCGCATCGGGCTCCCTGCTCTGCAGGGAGCCTGCTTCTCCCTCTGACCCTCCCCCCTCTCATGTGCTCTCTCACTCTCTCTCATTCTCTCTCTCAAATAAATAAATAAAATCTTTAAAAAAAAAAATAAAGCAGAAAATGATTCATCTTTGTCCTTGGCTTTCTCTCTTTTTGAATACTTTTTGTATTTGGTTTAAATAATCTTGCCCCTGCTACCATGAATTTCTACCACGGTGTACTACAAAATGTGTGATTTTCTTGTCCTGTGGGGGGATTACTTGAAAAGGAAACGAACAATGTGCTATTCTTGGCAGGGAAAGAGCTACTGTTGACTAGTGGTCATTAAGTCAAACCTTTGGGTACTGTTCCAGAGGTTGGAAGGCAGGTACTATCATTTCTCTGCTCAGTGAACCCTGGTTGATGACGTAGGCAGGCTGGGTAGAGCCAGCCACTGAAGCCCTTGCTAGGTTTGAAATTCTGTTCTTGGTGAGAAACCAAGTGGCATTGGCCTCAGTTAGCCAATTTCAGTGAGCAGAGAGCCAAGTGGCTTAGCCACATACACGTGTACATTAAAAGTATCTCCTGTCCTCCTCTCTATATGTAGCATTGAACCAGGCAACCATATGAAGTCTTCAAAAAGAAAGCAGGAATAACTGTGAGATAATCCTTAAACATGAATATATTTTTATATGTATGATTTGTCTTGAGCTCAATAGCTACCTCCAGAAACTGGATCCACAATGGAAGATTCCATCCACAATCCATCTCTTGGCAGCCAAACCCTCAACACTCAGGAAATAATACCAATACAGCCAAATTTAGTGTTTGGGCTGTTTTGTCCAGATGACTTCCTATAAGAGTGGATCTCAGCAAGGCATAGAAGGAGAGCTCTATTTAGAGGCATTTGGAAATCTTTGGGCCATGCTGAGGGATCAAGTGGTTCAATTATTCTAAAATATAAGGAAAAGCTGTATTGGCACTCACAGTCTTGCAAACTAACATTTTATTATTATTTTTTTAAATATTAAGAAAGTCCTCTTTGTCTGCACTCACTTTTAGTGGGGTTGGGGGTGGAAGAAATAATATGCAAGGCAAAGTTTGAATTCTGATGAGGGAAACATTTTTTCAAGGTTCTTCAGAGAACTCCTCATTACTTCCTGTTCCAATGTATTTTATTTTATTAACTGTAATAAAACACATGAGGTCATACTATGGTAGGCCTTTTCATTAGAGGGTCTCAAAGCAAGGCAGTGCTTAATTAGGAGCCCCGTCACAGGTTCAGGGAGGTGACTGTGGGCCCAAGCAGGAACAAAGCAAATCTGCCCAATAATTTAGAATATGATGGGAGGTTTTGTGTATTCCCTTGAAAACAGGATTACCACTGTTGACCTGGGCTCCTGCTGACAGCGCAAGAGAGGCAACGCAGGTGTGAGAAAATGTGGTGGAAAGGACTCAGGAAGGGAGGTGGCCATCCTGCTTCCCCTTTAATGAGAACCTTCTCTCTGGCCCAGGGGCTGGGTGGGGCTATCAGGGTGTGAGGTCAGATCCAGTGGTGGTGAGGGAGGAGGGCAGCTGGAAACCTGTGGCTTAGAACAGAGATGGGGCCAGGAGGGGGAGGTGCCAAGAGTGACTGTGGAGGGCCCACCTGGGGAAATCCCTGGGGAACACAGGGGACCCTGACTGGCAAAGCTGTTGCCTTTCTGCCCTTCCTGCTCACTTCCCCTCCATTATCTTCATTCAGCAGTCATTCATTTACTGTTCCATGCCAGAATCTCAGCGAGACTGGGGGGCAGGGGGAGGGGGAGGGCAGACAATAAAAGCAGAATAGTTTTAAGGAACACTGAAGTCATTTCTGAGGAGCAAAGTTCTAAGGACATGAACTGTGTTGCTCCTTAAGGTGCAGAGCCTGTGTTAAGGGAGTTGAGATGTGGGGCCCAGAGATAGGAGATGAGTGAGCGGGCTGCCATCGGGGTAAGATAGGGTACAGCCCTTACCCCCTGACACATTCTCTCACCCCACTCCCTACCCCAGGGGACCAATGTTGCTGGGAACCAGGTGTTAGCTCAACCTGAGGAAGAACTGAAGTAAAAACTGTGAAGATAAAATGAACTGCTTTGGGGGATGGCAAGCTCCTGGTCATTTGGGTTATTGGAGAAGAGGCTGGATAGCTACTGGTGGGATTGACAAGATCCCTTCCAGACTGTGATCTATGAATCCCCAAGGGGCTGGTCTCCTGGAGATGGCAGTTCTGGGTGAACTAGTCTGCTCTGCTCTAGCTGGTCATGAGGATGATGAGGCCTGATCAGGAAAGGGTAGTAGGAGAAAGCCTGGTGAGGAGGGCGTTGGGAACTGGGGGAAGGAGTGGGAGGGAAGGGGGTCTACAGGGCTGCCATAACAAAGTACCACAAACTGGGTACCTTTAAACAACAGAAATTTAGAGTCTCACAGTTCTGAAGCTTGAAGTCCAAAATCAAGGTGTCAGCAGGGCTGGTTCCTTCTGAGAGCTCTAAAGGAGAATCTGTTCCATCCTTCTCCCAGCTTTGGATCACTCTGCTTTTCCCTGGCTTACGGGTGTATCAGTCCAATCTTCTGTCATCACAAGGTGTCCTCCTTGTCTTCACACGGCCAGCTTCTTACAGAGACAAAAGTCATATTGGGGGGCACCCGGGTGGCTCAGTCGTTGGGCATCTGCCTTCGGCTCGGGTCGTGGTCCCGGGGTCCTGGGATCGAGCCCCGCATCGGGCTCCCTGCTCGGCGGGAAGCCTGCTTCTCCCTCTCCCACTTCCCCTGCTTGTGTTCCTGCTCTCACTATGTCTCTCTCTGTCAAATAAATAAATAAAATCTTTAAAAAAAAAAAAAAGAGTCATATTGGATTAGGGGCCCACCCTACTCCAGTATGACCTCATATTAATTTAACTAATTAGATCTGCACTTACCATATTTCCAAATAAGTTTACACTCTGAGGTACTTCAACATATCTTACTTTTAGGGGGGATACAATTCAATCCGTAACAGGAAGCAGCTTGCTGAATCTCTGAGACTTCAACTTTTCCCATCTGTACAACTCCCAGAGCTGGCACTGCATGGAGAGAGGCTGGGTGCCTGGAGTAGACACCACTCCCTGGGCTAGCCCTAGCTTGACTTTATACACAGCATAGTTCTGAGATTGTTCCCAGGGCTTCAAACTTCTGCCCTTTCCTGTTTTTCACAGAATCCCCATCTCCTCACAATATCCACAGCACCCCCAACCTGGACACCCACTTATCCTGACACCCTAGAGGCTCAAGCTCTCTCCTCTCATCAAAGAGCTCTCTGAAATCTTTCCTTCGCACCCAGGCACAGAATAACATGGACTTGGGGAGGTTGTGTGTGTGTGAGGTTTTTGGTTTTTGGTTTTCTCCTTTGGGATTCTTCTTACAACTACCTAAACAGCACCCAAGATTTCTGGCCTATTTCATCCAGTGTTGGACAACTGGCTACCTTCAATGAATTTCCTAGATTTTTTTTTTAGGGAGACAGATTATAAATCACAATTCTAGAAATTTATGCCAGCAATACCCTCCATGGGATTACAAACACATAGGGAGAATGTGGTAAAATGGGGAAACACCAGACTCAGAGACATCAGAGGTCAGAAGTCTCAAGTTCTAGGACCACACACTATGGTTGTGTGACAGTGGTGGTCAGGTCACCCTTCTCTGAACTTTACTCCAATGGTAAAACAAGTTAGACTATTTCAAAGCTGGTATTCTATGATTTCATAAAAGTCAGTATTCTGTGATTTCATAATAGGTCTCTAAGGACCACTCTAATGCTGATATTCCATGAATTTATAACAGCTAAAACTTTTTACGCGATTAAATGGAAGGAAAGAGGTGACACATATATCATTTCTCTGAAAATCAGCAAACATCTTTGTGGAATGATGTCACCGTGAGCCTCAGTTTTCCGATTTATAAAACACAAAAATAACAATATGGACCTTATGAGGTGGTGGGAGTGAGGGTGCCTGGAGCGATCTGTAGCTTTATACGGAGGCAAACCAGGAACCTCTCTGAACGTTCTCTGTAAAAGCTCCCGGACTCTGCGCCCAAGCAAGCCAACCGAAAGACCGGGAGGGGGCGGGGCGAGGAGGTTGGCTTTGTTCTCGCCCCGCCCCCGCCCCTCCCTAGATATCGCGAGAGGGCGGGTCCGCTTGGCTTCGGCGTCGGCGTCGCTCCCGCGCTGGGGCACTAGGCCGGCTTCTGTCCGCGGGCCTCGGTTAAGTGTCGGTGGCGGAGGGCGCGTGAAGGGCCGCCAGCCGCGCGGCGTCGGCCGTGGCGTCGGGGTCGTTGTGTCGTGACAACGACTCCGGTAGCCGTCTCCGCGACAGCAGGTGCGGCCGCTTTAGCCCCAGGCGGGCTCAGCGGCTGCCTGGCGAGTCTGTGCTCGCGCCCAGCCCTTTCCTTCCTGGACCCAGCGCCAAGCAGCGACGCTGAGCCGACCGCCGGAGCGGCGGGCAATGGCGGCCTCGACGGCCTCGCATCGGCCCATCAAGGGGATACTGAAGAACAAGAGTTCTACGACTTCCTCTGTGGTGGCCTCGGACGAGCAGCCCGGCAGGAGTGTCGACGAAGAGCTGAGGTGAGAGCCGGGAGCGACGGCCGCGGGTGGGCCCAGGAAGCTCTTTCTTCCTTCCCGGGCGGCCTCGCCTCTTCCCTCCCCCGCCGTTCCTGGCCCCGGACCCAGCCCCGACCCCGAGCGCTGACCGGCGGCCGGGGCGGCTGCGTGGATGCGGCTCCAGCGCCGCTCGGGTCTCTCTCTCCTCCAGCCAGGCTGCCGGGTAGAGTGATTTTAAAGAAGGCAGGAGCTATGACGTTAATCGTTTTATTCCTTCTTAAAAGTATACACGCATACGTCATTTTTTAAAACAAACATCTTATTTTTGAACTTTGGGAAAGTGGAAACATTGAAGAATCAGAAGTTTAAAAGATTCACCTGTTAAGCTTTTATTATTTCTTAACCTCATATCTGAGGTATCTAAAATTCTTCAATAATAAAAATCTTTTCTTGGCTTGGGAACCCTTTAAGATCTAGTCTCAAGCCAATACGAGACCTCTCCATAAAAGAGACCCTTTTCTCCATTTTTCTAATCGAGCTTCCACAGTCATTCCTTTTTAGGTGAACATTATCAGAAGCATCATGCCACACTCAACTCTCTTAGATCCTGGTTTGTCATTATCTCTACACTAAGAGAAACCAAAATTTTCCAAGTCTTTGGTCTATATTTAATGGAAATCTATTTCTAATTATTTTTGCATCTGCAACAAGAATTTGGAGTGCTTTCTAGTCTTTGTTCCTCTTGAAAGACATAACTAAGCTCAGAACAGTTCAGAAAGTAGCAACTTAAAATGATCCAGTGATATGTACTTAGTCGTACATAGTCACAGGTACACATGTAAAAAGATGTTGCCCGATAGCATTGTGTGTAATAGTAAATAATTGGAAACAACCCAGGGTCTATTAATAAGGACTAGTGAAATATTAATTATGGTACATTTGTATAATGAAACGACATACCACCCTTTTTAAAAAGAGCAAGAAAGATGTTTATGCATAGAGGAAGATATCCAAGGTGCAATGCTCAATGAAAAGAAAATAGTACCATACATACAGTGTAAAATATACCATTGGATTAGAAGTACTAGGGGTCTTGGGTGTTACAAGATACTAAAAATATAAAGACTCTATATTCTAGAAATAAGGCTTAAGAGAAGTTATCATTGAAATCTGTAAAGTCGTAAAGCTAAAATGAGGGCATTTGTAAAAACTTAGAATATTACAACTAGAGCACACCTGTTTAAGTATCAATTTAGGACTATAGAAAGAACTACTACTTGGTGGTGATAAATTTATAGAAATTTGTGTTACTTTGAAGAAAACATTAAGTAGGATGACAGCTTATACTCATGGCCTTTTGGGATTGAAAAGGACCTTAATTTGTCTCACAACTCCTACGCTCCCACTCTCTTTTGGATGCTTGACTTATATTCTCTAACAGGAAATTTTCCAACCTCTATTTTGGGTAAGTTGCTTCAAATGGGAATTGGTGGGGAATGACGGCTGTAGGTTACTGAATTAAGAAAACTCACTGGAACATAGCTATAGCAGGAAGACTAAGATAATTAACCAAACAAACTGTAGAAAGCTCTTATACAGTTTCAGGGTATTCAACAGCAAGAGTATCGTTCTCACTGGGATTTATGTTATTTAGTTATTCTTAGTGTGAGCTTCTTTTTGTTTGGCTACCAAGTGGCTTGTTTATTTTTGTTTGGTTACCAAGTGGCTTATTGTTTTCCCCTATCTTTCTCTGCTTCCTTATCTTCTGCTTATTCTCAACTTGGATCTGCCATAATTTCCTGTGGGCTTACTCAGTGGGTTAGCCTCTTTCTGTAATTGTCTGGAGTTTACTTCCAGGTATTTCTGCCTTGAAAGCCACTATCCTAGGCTGCTAGCAGGACAGATTCACTTAAAAGGGGCCTTTTACAAGGTTCCAAGGTGGATGATTTTGGTTGGCTTGTCTTAGAGGGTTGGACAGCTCATAAGTCTTCAAAGGGAACTACCAAGCTCTTAATTCATTGAGGTTCATGATGTTTGTAGTAAACAAGTAGTAAAAGGGAATGGGCTTTTTCATTATCAGTGTTATATGTCTGTAAAGCAAAGAAAATTCTGTTGGTAATATAATACACATTATGTCACAGCTTATGCAAACATTATTAGCAATTTTATGGGAGCGTCTTTAAACAGAAACAATAAAGGTATAGTTGAACTCTCTTTGTGATGTTTAATTTCATTTAATTACAACCAGTATTCCCCTTTTGCTATAAAAAGGACTGAAAATAATTATTTAATACACTTTATTAATACACTTAAAATTCAGAAACTAGTAAGTGTAGTGTAATGGTTTAACTTTAAATGTTGGGACAGAGTATAAGGCAAAAGAATCTCATATTGTGAAAATGACCCAGGATCTAAGTCAGTTCTTGTTATTCTCGGCAGTCCTGGTCTATAATCACCACAAACTCTGAATTAGTGAATACTGAACTATTGCTCCTAGGAGAAATAACAGAGTTAGGTTCCTACAAGATTCCTCCCTCTTTTTTTTTTTTTTTAAATATTTTATTTATTTATTTGACAGAGAGAGACACAGCAAGAGAGGGAACACAACAAGCAGGGGGAGTGGGAGAGGGGGAAGCAGGCTTCCCGCGGAGCAGGGAGCCTGATGTAGGGCTCGATCCCAGGACCCTGAGATCATGACCTGAGCCAAAGGCAGATGCTCAACGACTGAGCCACCCAGGCGCCCCTAGACTCCTCCCTCTTGTGCTTAGAACACTGGACGGCACTTTAGCACTACACTTGGGAGCCGTTTATTTTTTTTATTTATTTTCTTAAAAGATTTTATTTATTTATTTGACAGACACAGCCAGAGAGGGAACACAAGCAGGGGGAGTGGGAGAGGGAGAAGCAGGCTTCCCGCAGAGTAGGGAGCCCGATGTGGGGCTCTATCCCAGAACCCTGGGATCATGACCTGAGCCGAAGGCAGACGCTTAACGACTGAGCCACCCAGGAGCCGTTTAAAACAACGGATTCAACAAAAACACAAAAAAGTAAAAAACGTGTTACTAAGTGGACGCAAAAGAGACACTTATTTACAGTTTGAGAGCTGAAACAAGGTAAAAGTATCAATCACCTTGTTTAACAGCTGGGAAGATGTGCGTGGAGCAATCAGAATTGTCCCTGTTCTGCGACATGTCTGTGAGAGACGGAGAAATCGCCTCCCTCATGTAAGACTTTGGAGTTACAAATAAATTTTATCAACTAGGCAAATTTGTAAATACAGAATCCACAAATAACTGTATCTTTTATTGGTGACTTTATCAAGTCAAATGCAGTGGTAGTTTCCTTTTTCTGCACACACCACTTCACCCCCTCCTCATTAGTTGTGAGGATATTGTTTAACATAACATTTTATTTAGCATGAAGGGTATTACCAAGGGATTTTTTTTCTTTTAAGGCCAGAAGTTGAGTTGTCTTATGTGTCTCTAAACTCTTTTATTGTGTATCTTTTTAGTAGGAAAAAATTCAAATATGCTTCAGATATGTTTGTTTATAATTTATCTCATATATTACTATTATTAGATAATATTTCAAGGCTCAGTATACACTTAAAAGTAAGATTCATATAATGCCATATTTCAAATAGTCTTAGAATTTTTTTACGCAGTTCTTGTCAAACTTTTTTTTTTTGTCTCAGTGCTATTATTTTCTTATTCTCTTTATGCTTTGCATTTGTACTGTTATCTTCGATGAATGGTTTCTTCAGTTACCACTTGTCAGATACCATTTTTTGAGGGTTAGTTCAATTACAACTGGATAGAATCTGTAAATCCACATAATCAGGCATAGATAAATCAGCATATGGTATCACACTATTCAACTAGTTAGAACATCACTGTCATCTCCTATGATTTTGGAATTCCCATTCTATCAGGATTACCTTGAATATAGTGTACAACTTGTAAAGGTCTAAAATAATAGATCTAATGAGTAGCTATGTGCATTTCATCAAAAACAAGAAACCATTGATTCTAAGATGTACTGTGATTTTATGTACCACCAAGAAAGAAGAAAATACTGTGAATTATAAGATGCCATCCATTTTAAGATACACTGTTTTCAGAGAGATTAAATGAGAATGTGCATTTTTAATTGGTGAAAATAAAGAAATTAAATGTTACTAAAACTTAGGAGAAGTGTTATAGGTTAGTGATTAATCTGGGACTAGATTGTCTGGATTTGGATCCTGTCTACTACTTATTACCTCTGTGACTGCCTGTGACTTATTCATTATATCCATGTGTAGTTTAATTATATTAAATGAGTTAATAAGGGGCGCCTGGGTGGCTCAGTCGGTTAAGTGTCTGCGTTGGGCTCAGGTCATGATCCAGTGGGGAGTCTGCTTGTCCCTCTCCCTCTGCCCCCCGCCCCTGCTTTAAAATAAATAAATAAATAAATTAGTTAATAAATGAAAAGTTAGTTTAGCTCAGTATCTCACCCTCAAATGTTAGTCTTATTCAAGTAGAAATAACTATAGGAATCTAATTTTTCCCACATCTCAGTAGATTGTTTTATACAATATGCTTTGAGGTCACTATGTTCCATTCAAATTCAGTAGTACCCTTAGGTAATGTAGGCGAATTCTGCTTAAAAGCATTGCACTTGAATTAATTTCCTTTAATATAATTTTATATAAACATGCTTCACATTCATCTTTTTCTGCCTGTAAGGGGATTTGGACTATAAAGCCTCACTGTACTGTAAAGTTTTCCAAAAGTGACTTTTTGATTACTGATTGCTTTTTAACTAATTGTTCAGTAATTGTATCAAGCTTCATAGTCTTGTACTTTGTCAACCTATGTAAGTTGAATCTTTATTTAAAGAAAGAACCTTTTCTTGAAGTGTGCAATTAAAGTTTAACACCTTGAAGCAAAATCCTGCTTCCTACTCCAAGTGTGGCTAAAACTTACCAAATGAGCAAATCACAAGCAACAAGAGTAGGGGTAGGTCTTTGAGGCGGTATCATA